CGGGCATGGAGCTGGGGCCGCGCGCCGCCCCCTAGGCGGTAGGTGCCGGCGGGCGCGGGGGGCTCCGGGGCGGAGCAAGGGGGCCCACTCCGGATCGAGGGGGCAGTCCGGATCCAGGGGGTCTGCCCTGGATCACGGGCTTCAATCCGGATCCAGAAAGTCTGATCGGGAGCAAGGGGGCTCGCTCAGAAATCACGGGATACAGCCCGAGGCAGGGGGCCGCTCCGGACCACCCCTTCCCCTCTGGATCCAGGGACCCAATCTGGACCCAGGGCTCTGGTTTGGATCAAAAGGGGCCGATCCAGTCTGGACCCAGAGGTTTAACCTGGATCCAGAGGGCCCGCTCAGGATCAAGGGGTCCCATGAGGGTCAAAGGATCCAGTCTGGATCCAGGGGGCTAACCTGGGATCACCTCTGGATCAAGGGTTCCCCTCTGCATCCAGGGGTCCAATCCGGATCCAGGGGGCTGATCTGGATCCACGGTTGCCCCCTCCCCGCCAGGTGCAGGCGCTGCTCAGTCCTTTCTCCTCGCAGGCAGACGCAGCCCCGATGCATCCTGCTGGTCCTGGCCTGGGGCTGCCTAACCCCCGCCTGCCCTGCCAGGCAGGTCCTTCCCTCCCTCCATGCCACCTGCCTTGGGGGCAGCCTGCCACGTCCCTTCCAGCCCTGCCTGCCTGGAAGCAGCGCGGGTCCCAGCTGGGGAGGAGATTGCAGAAATCAAAGCCTTTAAAAACAAATCGCCATGCTCCACCATGCTGCCAGGGCGCGGGGCGTTCAGCTGAGTTTGGCTGGTGCAGGGGAAGCCGCGTGACCCATGCCAGGCATGAGAGGAGAGCTCCTGCTTGTGCAGAGGGGCGCAGGGCAGGAGCTGCTTCCTTAAACAAGAGCCCAGGCGTCTGCTCTCTCCCCCCCTCGCTTCGCTGGATCCTTGCCCAGCAGCACCTGAAACTTCACAACAGGAGCTACCTAATACAGGCCCTTAGCGGTCCTGAGGACTTGGTCGTGGTGCTGCATAAACATTATTTGAATGCTCCTGCTGGCAGATCTCTACCTATTCTGATGCTCTTGTCCACTGTTGAGAGGGACCTTATTGCCCTGCGTGGAGATGGTGGTGTATTTGATAAGCTTTGCGGACTCTAGCACTTTGCTCAGACGGATGGGTCTGCACGATCCGCTCTGGCTCTCGGCGCTGGAAGTTGTTTTCCAACAGAGCTGGCTTGTCGTGTGCAAAGCAGGAGAAGCTCCAGTTGTCCCTGATGCCTGGGAACACAGCACCCCGTGGGCCGGGGCAGGTATAGCCCGTGTGAACTGGAGTTTTGAACAATGCAGCGAGTGCTAAAGAAGAGGAATAAACTCGGGAGCAGAAGAGAAGCAATCACAGGGCTATTGTATGCATTAAAGAAAAAACAATCCAAGGGAAAAAAGCTAACCCCACTGTTGATGTGTAGCATTCGTCTCTCTCCGGTGAAATTTGTATGCAATTCAAGCTTTAAAAACAGCCAGGAGTTGTTGAAACTTGGAAAAACGTGAAAGGGAGAAATTGCATGGTTGTTTGCTGTAGCAATTTAAAGCTATCGGTTTGCCTTATTTTACTTCAAAAGAGGAAAGTTGGTTGGGAAACTTTGAAGAAATTCAGCACTTGACTACAATGTGACAAAGATACATTGTTTTCCCCCATTTTTGATCTGCTCTATATATAACTATCTGGAATGATTTCATTGGTTGAGGACTCGTCAATTGCTCACATACTCAAAAATAGCTCAGGGTTAAAGATTAAATTTAGCAAGCGAGTCGTGCATAATTAAAATCTCCCGGTATTAGAAGCAAAAATCAAGCAGCAGAGACATTGATAATAAATCTGGCTTCTGCTCACTAGGAGCACTTGGAATTTGTAGCAGTTCTTTACTACTCAGACTTATACTGTGTCCACGTATGGGAGATGTACTGTTTTAAATGAGAGCAGAAAGCACCCTTGAGCAAAGGCAGTTATAAGAATATAAGGGTAATAATATCAATATAGCTTATTCCTGCAAGGAGACAGGGTTGAGTGAAAGCTATGTAGGGCATGGCGCCTAAAGAAACTGTGTCCCCTCTAGTTACTGTATTGGTATAACTGGTACGCTCTTTTACTGCCGTACTGAAACTTGGTCCACCACAATAGCAGTAGTTTCAGCGATACGTGGAGGGATTTTTGAATGGGACAGCAAAGATCATTCTAGTTTCTAAGCTCTCATGAGTAACAAAGGCAGAAATTAGCCTACATTTATTTTCTGTGACCTAGATGGCACCCTTCTGTCACTCCAATTCACCTGCGGTGTGTCAGGCCAAATTCTGCTCTGTCTTACTTGCACAGTGGCATTGAAGCTGTGCTGGATTCCAGTCCTGTTTGCACTGCTGCAATCTCACTCACTTCACTTGAGCAGCAACCCTACAGAAGAGAGCAAAATTTGACCCAGAGAAGCCGGGCGTGCTCATGAGGTCTATGTGCATGTTCGTGGGATGGAAAGGGCTCTGCATGCCGGCGCTTCCTGGAGCTGTCCAGTCCGGGGGGAGCATGACCCCCGCTCCTCCCCATCTGGCCATCTCCCTTCTCACCAGAACAGCTGGGTGGGCACAGTCTGCCTCCTCCCTGGGGCCAGCCCTCTCCCCTGCACCATGCCGAGGGGGGCTGGGGCCTTGTTGTTCTTCCTCCTTGCCTCCTTGCCCTGTAAGTTGAACACAACAATTGCAACTTGTGACTGTCCCGTGTGGGAGGTTCTGTGGGCTTGCCTTGAGCTCTGGGTGAAAGGTAATCCTGTGCTGAGGGCTGGCAATGGCCTATTTATGACCACTTAAATCACAATTCAGCCCTGGTTTCAAGTGGGATTGAAGTGGCGCATGGCCCCTGTCCCATAGGCAAGTCTTCTTCCTTGGGTCCTTTGAGCACGTTTTGAGGACTCCGTCCTGTCCTTGCACTGGCAGGGCATTGACAGTCCCCCTGCTTTACCGATGGCAAGGTAAGGCGGTTTTGATGTTTTGAGCACTGTGCCTGGTAGTTGTACAAGGCTGCTTGGGGGGAAATATGTAAGACTAAGTTAGAAAAACACTGGTCTAGGAAGGTTGAGCAAGGGGTTGGACTAGTTGACCCCCTCCAGCCCTATGTTTCTATAGGTCTGTCTTTTTGTGGTTCTTGCTGTGTGCCCTGCTTAACCCTTGGTCCCCACAAGTCAGCTAAGTCTCCTGGATATACATATTCTCCGTGAAACAACTTGACCTACTTTATTTTTTAATCAAAACTGATGCAAACTCCTGTAGGGAGATTCTTAGTTTTGCTTAAAATTGACTTATTTTAATTTAGCTCATTGGTTCCTACTTCTTCTTCTTCTTCTCTTTTTGAGACAACAGGATGCTGCCAACCCTCTAAATTTCTTATGCATGCTTTATCAACACATTTTTAACTGAATTACTGCATAGACACACAGGGCATGTTACAGTCCATGAGCCACATACCATGGCCTTGTGGGACACTAGTTTGGAAACCACTGATCTATCTAAAACCTGTTTTAAATCAACTTAAACTAAACCAGAACAAACCATTCTTAAGCTGAGTTTCCATTGCTTTAACTGAATAAATGTAAAAATTGCACTAAGATGTAAATAATGCAGTTTTCTCCTGTTGGCAAGTTCCTCCGCAGGATCTAGAAGTGGGATGTGAATCACAAGCAGAACGTAGTAACAAAAATATAGCTGTTAAAACGACACCGAAAGCTATTTGTGCCAAGCAAAAATATATCGCAAAGCTGGGCAAAACCTCTAGGCTAACATTAAAGTTATGTCTTCATCAGAACAAATCAGAGCATTTCAGCAGAAGTGTAGGGATTTACAGAAGAATTAAGGGATTGCCAGTCCTGAATGATAAATTAACAACCTTCTTTGCAGAAACAGTTTTGTTTGTAGGAATGTTGAATGCAGAATGTAAATCATCTCTTCCACTAGAAAAAAGGAAAAACAGTTTGGCTTAGCCTGAAGCAGAGATTGCATACCTGATAAGTCCTCTATTCATAGAAATTGAAATATGGAAAAAAGGCTGCTCAGTTGAGGATAATTTTAAAAGAGTAAATAAAAAAAAAAGGAAGTACATTAATCAAGCACCAGTAGGCTGCTGAAAGGCACTGAATCAGCCAACTATTACAACACAGTGTCATTTTTTTGTTAATGTATAGACATTTGCACATTTCTGCGGTAAATGAGTGCCCTGCTAATCACGTCTGTATATTGGCAATATGACTGGGTCGGTCAGCAGTGAGATGCAGAGTTTTTCACCATCAGGTGAAATTTGCCCAAAGTTGCTAGCCGCCTAAAGTTAGCCTGGTATAAGGGCTGCCTGGTGACGAGTGTGTATTGAATCCAGTTCCTAGGGAATAGGTGTCACCAGTGTAACAGCTGCCCTCACAATTAATCCACTGGTCACCTCTATACAGAAATCAAAACCTGCACAGCCTGACTGTGCTCTCAATACCTGAACAGCGTGTGTGCTGTCTTCACTGTGTGCACGTGTGAATTTGTGTTCTCTTCACTGTGTGCATGCGTGTGTGTGTGTACTCCCCACCAGCATGAGGACTAACAGCTTTGCCACCATTACCCAGTTGTAGAGTCGACTTTCCAGAGGTGCTGTTTACCAGTGCAGGCGAGGGGCTCCGAGTGCTTGCAGATGTGTTTGTCTGAATATTTGGATGCATACATATGTGCAGGTATGTGCAATCTTGTTTACAGACTGTCAGAGCTTGGTCAAGATTTTCAAGTATGTAGCAATGGGAGGAACCGTATCCATTATTAACATGCTGATTCCCTCCCTTGCTTCATCTGCTCTTCCCATAAAGTGCACCCATGTATAAGCTTAAAAGAAAGTAATAAGGTTGGTCTCTTCTGGGAGGGAGGGTGAAATCTCGACCCCCCTGAAGTCTGTAGGAAAACTCCCAATGATTTTGCTCAGGGTACGACAGACACTGAAAGCATCAGGACTGCTAAGAACATAGATCCACATCCCTTGAACGATCAC